ACATATAATAAGCCTACTATTTTATCACTTTTTTCAAGACATTTGATTATTTTCCTTTCTTTGATCCACATTTATTTATTTATTTATTTATTTATTTATTTGAGAAAGAGTCTTGCCCTGTTGCCCGGGCTGGAGTGCAGTGGCATAATATCAGCTCACTGCAACCTCTGCCTCCCAGGTTCAAGTGATTGTCCTGCCTCAGCCTCCCGAATAGCTGGGATTATAGGTACCTGCCACCACGCCCAACTAATTTTTGTATTTTTAGTAGAGATGGGGTTTCACCATGTTGGCCAGGCTGGTCTCGAACTCCTGATCTCAAGTGATCCACCCGCCTCAACCTCCCAAAGAGCTGGGATTGCAGGCGTGAGCCACCACGCCCAGCTGTTTTTAATTTTTATTTTTCGAGATAGAGTCTTGCTGTGTTGCCCAGGCTGGAGTACAGTAGCATGATCTCCGCTCACTACAGTTTCCGCCTCCCAGCTTCAAGCATTTCTGGAGCCTCAGCCTCCTGAGTAGCTGGGTTTACAGGTACATGACCCCATGCCTGGCTAATTTTTATAATTTTAGTAGAGAAGGGGTTTCACCATGTTGGCAAGGCTGGTCTTGAACTCCTGAGCTCAAGTGATCTGCTCGCCTCAGTCTCTCTAAGTGCTGGGATTACAGGTGTGAGCCACTGTGCCTGGCCATGATCCTCATTTATATTCCCATTCTTACTCTTCTTTTTTCAGCCATCTATTATTTTAGAAAGAAAGAAAAAGGGTACTCAATAAGTCATGCTCCTTCTGCCAATTGTTTTCCCCTTTCATTTTTAGTAGTCTCTAAGTATAGATTCTACAACAACCCTCAAGATCAGGAAATGTCTTTTTGTGTACCTCTTGCAGGAATGAGAGACAATCAGGGGTCTGGTGGGTGAAAGGTAAAGATAAACTGAAATAGGTAAATTCTTGTTATTATCAATAACTGAAGGGTAATACAATTTATATTTTGAGCTTTTGTAATGAGAGCTCTCTTTTCAGTCAGTTTCATCTCATTTATTTTTGTCAATACAAATAGGTTTCCAAAACGCTTGGAAAACCTCCCTGAAGAAAATAAACTGTATTATCTCCTTTGTTATTGTTTTTAAACCCTTTCACCTGGCTTTACCTCCTATCCTTACACCCAAACAGCAGCATCATCTCCCTCACAAAGAAAAAAGGAAAAACTATTGAGATTAAAGTATAGTTTTACAGCAACTTTCTTGAAAAGGTAAGTTAGTTAAATCATGGGCAAAGAAAATACTAAAATTTATATGAACAAATACGTGCCTATTAAGCAACACATTAACTGCAAGCAATTTCATATGTAAATTACCTATAATTTGAATGCAATTTTCTAAATTTTTTTTAATGTGAGTAGTTCCAAAAGTTCTTTGGTGTTTAATAACATGTGCTATTATTAAGACAGTTGTTAAAGTGCAGATGTTTTGTTCAGTGCCTGGCCCTTTCAGTATACTGTCTAAGAGAATGTTGTTACTTAGAACTGAAGCTAACTGTCTTGGGCCTTTAGGCTTTCTTTCTCCTCAACATTAATTATATGTCTGATGCTTTGGTAGGCAATGGAGATTCAACTGTGAACAAGTCAGATACAGCCCTACTCTTGGGTTGTGCAGAGTCTAATCACACAAATATTCAAGTGTCTGGTGTGAGTCTGGCCCTGTCCTGGGAATTTTAAAGGAAAAGATACTCCATGTGCTTGAAGAGCTTCTGAGTTCTTATCCTCTTGAGTGGTATTTTCCTGAGAACTTCACAGCAACTTACACTGACCCATCCACCTAGTTTCCTAAGATAGGGGAATTGAGAACACGGTCAGTCAGCTTCTTTTCATTTAAAACTAGGAATCCATTTAAACTGAGGAAAATCCAGGTGTCACAAGATTGGTTAAAATAAAAGATACGGCCGGGCGCGGTGGCTCAAGCCTGTAATCCCAGCACTTTGGGAGGCCAAGACGGGCGGATCACGAGGTCAGGAGATCGAGACCAGCCTGGCTAACATGGTGAAACCCCGTCTCTACTAAAAAAATACAAAAAACTAGCCGGGCGAGGTGGCAGGCGCCTGTAGTCCCAGCTACTCGGGAGGCTGAGGCAGGAGAATGGCGTAGACCCGGGAAGCGGAGCTTGCAGTGAGCTGAGATCTGGCCACTGCACTCCAGCCTGGGCGACAGAGCAAGACTCCGTCTCAAAATAAATAAATAAATAAATAAAATAAAATAAAATAAAAGATACTAACTCTGCCATAAAGAGTTTTAAAATTGTGCTAGATTCAATCATATCATTTTTGAATAAGCTAATGCCATATTGCCATATGTTCTTACAGTCATTTCAAATATGCAGACACATGGAATATGTAAATTCTAGGCAGATAATGAACAGCATAAATAAAAATCATAGTAGCTAAATCAGTGGAGGCTGTTCTTTAATTTTTATAGATTTAATGTCCTCTAAAATGGTCTCATTTATTCAAAAAGGGAATTTATAGGGTTTGTTGTATGGAATTTCCAAAATCTCACAATGGAAGAAGTAAATATTATTTATTACTTTAATACTAATTTTTATAATACCTTGCATTTAACATTTATATACTTTTACAGAAGTTCAGGGTAGGAGTTTGTCACGAAAAGACACTTCTGTGGACATCCTGATAAAAATAAAGAATTCTGCAGTAGGTTTAGTAATGTTACTGCTATTTCAGAAGTCATGTTGAAATGCAATTTAGAATAGAACAGTTTAGAAGACAGTAATCCATTTTTTTATGGGTTAATAATATGAGGGAAATATCATGTAGCATCAAGTTATTTGGGGGAGAGAGGGCTTGCCTTTAGCAAAATGTAAAACTCCACTTTCCTTTTATTAAATCCCTATCTTCTCTCCAGGCCAGTTCTCACCTTCCACCACTACCCTACCTATGTGTTTCCCCTGATCTTTTTCCTGTACAATAGAGAATTTTGTTAAAACAGTATTCTTGGAGAAAGCCATACCACCATATGTACCTTGGCCTACTACAAAAATCAATCTCTCCTATTCCAACTGGGTTCTCATTGCTGCTAGGTTATCTTGATATTGATCTCCTGTTTATTCCCCAGCACACTTCCCTTTGCCGATGCTTCAAGTCTCTCATTGCTCACACGTCTAATTCACTACTTACCCTTTCCATTCTCACCAGATAATAACCATCCTACTTTACTGAGAAATTCACAGGTAACTGGTGTGTGCTTTCTCATTTCTGTTATCTCTACCTTAAAGCAGCAAATGTTTATTGAGTATCAACCATATCCTAGGCAATGGTATGCCAGTAGTGATGTAGCTGATTGTCTTCATACCCATCATATCCAGAACAGTTCCTGATACATAGTAGGTGTCCAGTAAATATTAAAATGAAGGTACCTATGAATGAAAAAATAGATCTAGTGGCTGAGATGCTTTAGCTAGAGGAGAAGGAAAGTAAGGAAGCACGCAATAGGTTTGTGACCTCCTCAGATGTTCTTTCATGGTAAAGTAGGATTGTTGCTCTGTCAAAGGAAGAAGTGTTTTTTATTTCCAAGACTAAACTCATACCATCCCTTCATGCTTCCTCTGTGAACTTGATTTGTCTCTCCCAAAGGAGGACATCTTCACTATACCTGAACACATATACTCATATGCTCACACACTATACACCACCAGCTTCAACAACTAAACCTCTACCATGCCTTGTTGACTGGAAACATCCTATTTTCATAGTTCTATTTTGCATAAGTCATTTGCAGTTTCTACAGTATACTCATTTCCTTGCCATCCATGTTGTCTCCCTGCATTTTTACTTCTGTTTTATTACTCATATTTAAAATAGGTAAAATCTCACCTATTTTTTCTAAGACTCAACTTGAGACTCACCCTTTCCACCAGGCTTTCTCTGGCCCCGTCGTAACTGGAAGCTTCCTTGAGAGAGCTAGCATTGTCTGTGCTATTCTTATGACATATATCATTACCTGCTGTCCTAGTTGTTTTGTGTTGCTATAACAGAATACTACAGACTGGGTACTTTATAAAGAAAATTTTATCTGGCTTATGGTTCTGGAGGCTGGCACTGGCATCTTCTCAGCATCTGGTGAGGGGTTGCCGTGTCATCTCATAGTGGAATGTAGAAGGGCACAGAGTGTGAGAGCAAGAGCAAGCAGGAAGGGGGCCAAACTCATCTGTTTTATTAATATAAGGAATCCACTCCTGTGATAACTAACCCATGCCTATGATAACTAACCCACTCCACCCACTCCTGTGATAACTAACCCACTCCTGAGATAACTAACCCACTCCTGTGATAACTAACCCACTCCTGAGATAACTAACACACTCCTGTGATAACTAACCCACTCGTGAGATAACGCATCATCACTACTTAAAGGTCCCATGGCTTAATACTGTCACAATGGCAATTAAAATTTAATGAGTTTTGGAGGGGACATTCAAACCATAGCATCTGTTTTCTATTTCCATGCAATGTCATAGATTTCATTTCCCTAACATAATCAGGGTTCAATAAATATTGGTTGAATGAGCATTGATAAACTGAATACCTTCAATGAGAATGGCAAAAGAAAAAAATGATTAAAGTTTTACAATATACATATTTTTGTATAATAACTCCAACAAACAATTTTAAATGCCATTTCTATTCATATCTTATCACTCAAATGAAGTTTTCAGAAATTTGTCTAGTTTCAGTCTTAGCTAGCCAAACATTGTTAGAAATGGTGATAGTGATATCATCTTAGTTCCTTCCTTCTATTGTGGGAGGAAACTAATGTCTAATATAATATGTGTTACAAAAGACTCAATTTATCCAATAAAACTTCAAGACAATTTCAAAGGACCTCTGAAAGACTGATTTCTGAACCACTTCCAAGACATATTACTTAAGACTACAAATGAGGATTTCTGGTTTGCTTTCAAATGGTTCTGATGTTCCTCATTTTGTTATGTTTTTCAGTTGGTGCTGGTATCACTGTACCTCTCAAATAGCTTCCCCATTTTGACGAAGAATGAAGAGGTTCTTGGATAAAGAACTTGTAAAAATCAGGTACAATAATAAAGTTGTGAATGGTTCTTGGAATTTGCTAAAATGAAATGCTGCATCTAAGTGCAATGTAAGTGCAACGTCTTAGCCGTGTAAGATCATTATCATAAAGTAATCATCGTGATTAAAAAAACCCTAATTGAATCATTATTCTTTCCAAAAGATCAGAATTCTAAGAATACTTCTCAGAAGCTCTCAAGTTTAATATGGAGCAGGAAATATTGCAATGAGTCCTCAAGAGTGAGAAATTAAAAAAAAAAACAGTTGTGCCATTCTTTCATTATGCTTTTTAATCATTTCATTATTCGTAACTATACAGTACTTATGTGTGGTGAGGGATGTAGTCATAGAGGAATGTATCTGTCAGCATATTGATATATAAAAGAGAATAAAAGTAAAAAAATAAGTATACTCAGTAGGTTCTCATATTTCATATTTGAAACTTTAGATATGTGTTCCTTTTTTGAAACACATGAAAACATTTATTTATTTATGCTATAAATAGGTAAAAACAACTCTTAAATAGATCAGCAGAGCCAGACCAGCGATTTCTTATCTTGACTAAATGGACATACCAACAGCAAAATAAAGTCAAAAATAGGCATATAATTTTACAGCTGCATCTATGAGGACACAAATGATATTTTAATATTCAATCAGAAATATTACATACAAAAGTTACAGAAATCTACCACTAAATTTTCTGGTGGTTTAAGATTTTAGTGGAGTCTGTGGAGTTTATAAAATTTTAAAATTTCAAATTAATGTGCCAAGTGTGAAGGGGCGATGTATACCAAAGGGGAGAAAGAAATGTAATTGTGAACAACTCAGAAGATGTTTGAAGGATCTATAGAGCTTAATTCTTTACCTACCAGTTTCAGAAATGAAATGCCTAATCTAATATACTTCTGGATCATATTTGAAGATGCTTTAATTTAGCCAATCATTTTGTTTTTCAGTCTCCTCCCATTTTGGCATACTGTGTCCCACCTTGACATTAAGAAGTTATTAGTCAGCATTGGAGAGGCTGTGCTGCAGTAATGAATGTTGGTGGCTTAAAACAGGGCAAGTCTGTTTCTTACTCCTTTTACATGGTGGCTGTAAGTTGACCAGGAACTCTGCTCTACATTTTCCTCATTTAAGGACCCTGGTTGAGGAGGGGGCTCCATCTTCATTCTTCCACAAATACTGCAGCAAAGAAAAAGTAAAATGGCAAATAGCACACAGACTATTAAATCTTCTCCCTAGAATGACTATTTGTTACTTCTGATCACACTAATTGATTAAAGCAAATCACATGGCCATGTTAATTTCAAATGGGGTCAAGAAGAGTAATCCCCTCATGTGCCTAGAAGGAAAAAAGCCAGAATGTTTAGTGCACTAATGATTTCCACGGGAAATTTCCATAGGAAAGATTAGAGATGGCAACTCTTCTAACCCATTCTTAGTTCAAGCCAGATTTCAGTGTGGAATTTCTTCCTTTTCTAGTTGTAGAACTCCAGGAGTATAACAATAGATGATAACTCTCTTCAAGGATTTATGAGAGAATAGTATATGAAGCATTAGGATCAACTGTTTTACTATTCATTCATTTATTTATATGGTCTTTCTTTTGCCCCCAAGTGAGAGTTGAAGCCAGCTGCACTTCCTGGGTAAAGTGGGGACTTGGAGAACTTTTCTGTCTAGCTAGAGGATTGTAAACGCACCAATCAGTGTTCTGTGTCTAGCTAAAGGATTGTAAATGCACCAATCAGCACTCTGTAAAAACGCACCAATCAGCACTCTGCAAAATGGACCAATCTACACTCTGTAAACTGGACCAATCAACAGGACGTGGGCAGGACCAAATAAGGAACTAAAAGCTGACCACCCAAGCCAGCAGCAGCAATTGGCTGGGGTCCCCTTCCATGCTGTGGAAGCTTTGTTCTTTCGCTCTTCAAAATAAGTCTTGCTCCCGCTCACTCTTTTGGTCTGTACTACCTTTATGAGCTGTAACACACACCGCCGCGGTCTGTGGCTTTATTCCTGAAGTCAGCGAGACCACGAACCCGCTGGAAGGAAGAAACTCTGGACACATTGTAAGGAGCAAACTCCAGTCTCACCATCTTTAAGAGCTGTAACACTCACCGGGAAGAAGGTCCGTAGCTTCATTCTTGAAGTCAGCAAGACCAACAATCCACCAGAAGGAACCAATTCCAGACACACAAGGAGGATATAATTTGGTAGAAAATATAGGTCTAGGCTCCATGAATCAATTAGGAGGGTGAGGCTAGCCATCATATCATTCAAGTGAATGGTGATAGGCCACATAATGGAAAAATAAGGACAACTCACGTCTGTAATCCCAGCACTTTGGGAGGCCAAGGCGGGTGGATCATCTGAGGTCAGGAGTTTGAGACCAGCCTGGCCAACATGTTGAAACTCCATCTCCTAAAAAGCCAAAAAAAAAAAAAAAAAAATTAGCTGGGCATAGTGGTGGGTGCCTGTAAGCCCAGCTACTCAGGAGGCTGAGGCAGGAGAATTACCTGAACCTGTGAGACGGAGGTTGCAGTGAGCCAAGATCACGCCACTGTACTCTAGTCTGGGTAACAAGAGTGAAACTCCATCTTAGAAAAAGAAAAAATAAGGACAGATGAAATTACATGAAAGATTAGTGTTAAGTGGAATCAGTTAAGAACATTTTGCTGAGAAAGTACACCATTAAGTAGACACGAAAGACTAGATTTAGATTGATAGAAAGAAGAAAAGAGGGTATTTCTAGTCAGAAACACAGTGACTTAAGAGTCCAGAAATGAGAATGAGCAAGGAAGAAACAGAGATGAGATTTGCTCAGTTGGGCAAGGATGAGATTAGAATCGAAGTGTCATATCAATTCAGATCAAGTTTTCTATGAATTGAAACATGAGGCTAAAAAGTTCAGATGTTTAGAAAAGATTTGTTTTGGTAGGCAACACTGACAAACTCTGGATTCAACCAAAGCCAGAATAAAAAAGTGTTTTAAGTTGTAGGAGTTTTATGGGGTACATCTAAAGATGAGACTCCTAAGAGGCTGTGTTTTGTCACAAATCTTGAGAAAGTTGAAAACAGGGTTCCTTTTCAACCTTGAAGAACTTCAGTCTGGTTGGGGAGATAGTGTTTAGTCTTTGAGTGAAAATTTTCAGGTGTAAATTTGGTCATGGAGAGAAACTCTTTCACTTTAAATAGTTAAGAAAAACAAAACCCTAATTCAACTATCCAAAAAAGTTTTGATTATTTTTCCTGGAGATAAGAGGTTGGTTTAACTTATGTCATAATGATAAAAATACACACATATATCATAAAATAGAAAATGTACACATGCTACCTAATAAAAGAGCATGTTGCATTTTCAGATCATAAATACAAATTTATTTTGTTCTGTTTATTAAAACATAAACAATGGTTTCATAGGACAAGTATGGTCTTTAGAAGGATACAGACCTGAATCCAAATCCAAGCTCTGCAACTTAGTAGAAAAGTAGAGAAGGTTAATTCATTTTATATCCCAAAACCTCAGTTTCCTACCTGTAAAATAGGGAAAATAATTGTACCTGACTCAGATGGTTGTTGTAAGGATTAAATAATAAAACATTCATAAAATACTCAGCACAGAATAGGCATACTGGCAGTAATGATGATGATTATATATAGGCAGTTTCTAAATATTATTTAATTGAATTAAATTTAAGGAAAGGTTTCTTAATGTCTTTATATTTATAAGGATTATAAACTTAATAAATCCTAATTTGCTATTTATTAACTAAAGTTGACTTCATAATTTTATTTATATTTTATTAAACAAATATGTAAAAAGAAATAAAGAAGAAAATAAAGCTTAAGTCAGAGAATACATTGTTATATTTCTGAGGTATTCGTGAGCCTGTATTGGTTTTGTTCCATTTGTTAAGCATTGTATTCAACAAATAGGAATGTTAAGCATTACACTCCTATTTTGCAGATGGGGAAGCTATACAAGATAATAATTGCTTATTTACAAAGTTAGTTGAAAAAGCAGTCGTTTCAACTTTTGCCACTAGTTTGGATTAACTACTATCTTGATTTCTTTTTCCCCAGTAGTTTTATAGTACTTGCCTTTTAGGTTAAAAGTTGTAGTTTTGAGTGTGTCGATTTTCAAATTGTATCCTAACAACTATATTTTAGTCAATCTGAGATTCCTAAGAACTTCACCACTTCACAAAATTGCCTTCCTGGTTCCTTCCTCATATGTGTACCACACTTTAAATATAGAAGAATTGACAGTGTGATAATCACTAAAATGAAAATGAAGAAATAAAATAGAAATTCTTACTTAACAACCTAAAGGTAGTAATCATGAAATTTTAATTTGAAAATGTTCTAAGAACAGCCATATACCAGTATGCACATTTTAATGTCATATATGGTAATAGGGCCATTAGTATAATGAAGTATTAAGGTCTGATATTTCCTCTGATTGGATAGAAATCCACAGTGTGGAAATAATGTTCTGAGTCTGAGCACTTATGAAAAAATAAAAAATGCTAATTTTTCTGAAGTATTTACTTTGGTGGTTCCTCAAGAAATGGTCCAGAGTTTCTGCTTTCCTGGAGAATCATTCACCCCTTACCCCTCTGGCATTACTGATCCCAGATCTTGAAATGAAGAAAGAGTGAATGTGTAAGTGTATAGGAAAAATGGCTTCAAGTGACAAAGTAAACCCTTTTGTGACTCAGTTGGACCAGGTAAGTATTTATTTCAGCCTTAGTGTTTCACACTAAGGCTGGGCAAATGCGTTTGATAAGCCACCAAGGAAAAGATGGCCTTTGTTGTTATACTTGAGTGCTGTTATGCCATACAAACAAACAGAAATCAACTCCCCCCCCCCAAAAAAAAACAGAGAAAAGGAAAGGAAAAAACTCCACAGCTTAATATAAAGATTTTGTAAGTGTTTGGCTGTTTTGTCATTTCTCAGTTGAAACTACAGGTTTTTGTTTTTTTTTTCATCT